TGCTGCTGCTGCGGCAGAGCAAGTACAGAGACTTGCTACTGCCAATACATCCACAACATGCTGCTGTAAGCATGTAAGAAATACTGCTGCTGGTTATTCACACATATGAATAACCCCCCACAAAGCAGGGGACACTTTACACAAAACAATACAAGCCAATATATGCATGCCGCTGAATATAAGGATAAACTGCTGCATCAGTGGACATGCATGTATCCACACACATGAAGATGAACAGACAAGGAAAGACAAGACATCCCCCACAAAGCAGATCTATCGCCAAGAAATTTGTACTGCTGCTGCTCCGAAAAGCCATGTGAACCGCATGTATTACTATCTATGTGTGCCTGGGCTACCACGCCGACCGGCTTAGTGCTAGTGGCCTATGTCTATGTGTGCCTGGGCTACCACGCCGACCGGCTTAACAATAGTGGCCTAGGACTATGTGAGCCTTGGCTACCACGCCGACCGGCTTAACAATAGTGGGCTGCTGCGGCAGAGCATGTACCGAAACTTGCTACTGCCAATACATCCACAACATGCTGCTGTAAGCATGTAAGAAATACTGCTGCTGGTTATTCACACATATGAATAACCCCCCACAAAGCAGGGGACACTTTACACAAAACAATACAAGCCAATATATGCATGCCGCTGAATATAATGATAAACTGCTGCATCAGTGGACATGCATGTATCCACACACATGAAGATTTGAGCCTTGGCTACCATGCCAACCAGCTTAACAATAATGGCCTATGACTATGTTTGCCTGGGCTACCACGCCGACTGGCTTAACTCTAATTAGACGCGCAGGCCGATGTATATGGAGAACCCCAGTTGAAATGGGGCTACCTATACAGGAGAGAATCAATCAGCTGCCATGTGACAATGATGTCACCAGGTCAGATTGAGCTAGACCTATCGGACTGCGCCATCTAGAGTTTCATGCCAGAACTCTGTATTTATGCCCTATAATTCAAGACACTGGGGCAAAAAATGCCTCTGTATAAGTTTTTCTCATTTATATCACATGATAAGCTAAATCACACCAGCAGAGAGTGCTGTTTATGTCCGAATAGTGAAATAGTGAATAGCAAATGTGATTTTATACATCAGTTCAGTAAATAAGAATATTGTTATATTTTAAACACAATATTGTGTGTTTTTGCCCAATTTTGCCAATGAAAATATTACCAATAAAGCCACAGCAGAACTGTTAAGCATCTGTGAGCAATGTAGCGGTGTTTAGTTTCTGAATGAATCTGCGTTTTGAACGACTTGAATGACTCATAAAGACATTCACCGTCACCTGCTGGCAGGTTTAGTTTCTTCTTTAGAGGATCATTTCATTTATAAAAAAATTTTAATTAATTAAAGGGATACTTCACCGAAAAAAATATCTGTCATTTACCCAAATTTAGTTTTTGAATTAATTAATCACCTCACCATGTAGTTAATTAGATAAAAAAATGTTAATAGACTGACAGTCCTAATATAAGCATGTACATGTTAATTTTGCAACAGGGTATTTTTCATTATATTTGCTCTGTAATAAGTAGTTAAATTAAATTAAATATTGCAGGAGTTCAAGTGTGGATTGATGCTGAGCCAGGGGATTGGGCATGATAGGGTCTAATGAAACTCTGCATGGGTGTCCTAAGTTGTTGGCGAAGGAAAGAAATGGAAGTAATGTTAGTGCTTCTAATAAAAAAAGGATCAATAGTTGCCAGCCTACCGAATAAGTGTAGCAGGATTAGAAGCTGACTATGGGGATTTAACTATATGCCTGGCTAAACAGATGAGTTAAAAGTATAGACTTAAATAGAGTTTGTCTGAACAGTGTTAGAGATGCCATTCCAAAGGCTAAGAGCCATGTAAGAAAATGCTCATCTCGTTTCTTTATTTAGTTTTTCTTAATTGGCACTGTCAAAATGCAATAGTTTCTGGATCTTAATGGGTTTGTGAAATAGTTAAATGATGAGCATGACAGATAAGAGAGATCTAAGGAGTTCTAAGGGTTCCAGGACCAGGATTAGAAACCACTGAAATAGACTATTAAGAACTTTTTGAGCAAGCAAAAGTTTTTATAATATATATATATATATATATA